TGAGGTATTGCTATTTAATCATTAAATGACCAGAAAATGCATTATAGGATAGCCGTGTGGGCTTCAGGCAGGAAATGGAAAGAGGCAAATTTATTATCTGCAGATTGGCTCCCAGCCCTCTCAAACAGACCCCAGGAGACCTCAAAAGTGTCACACTGAAGTGTGTGACACTTAGACCTTCTGTGTCCTGGTTCTGTTCCCCTCCCTCCAAGCCTCTATCTCTGATATGCAAACTTCTGCCTCCAGTGAAAGAAATTCCATGATTTCATTCAGTATGAGTGCAGTGGGGAGGGATTTCCCTCCTGAGCCTAAGGTCTCTTGGTGCAATGTCACCTCCCTTCTCTATAGAAGGCCCCTTTCAGATGAAAAGTGGGGGAGTGAGGTACATAGAACGGGTTCACTACAAGGAATTCAAAGACCAAAGTTTCCAGTCCAGCTGTGACACGCAGTAGTTCCTGAACCTCAGTTTCCTTGTCTGTAAAATGGGAACAACAGCCCCTGCCTCACAGAGATTATTTAGAGAGTTAACAGAGGTAGGAAGTGTCAGTTACCCAGCACAGTACCTGATATCAATTTGAGTGTAAAAAATGGGAGCTGTTGACATCAGAGGATGGAAGAGGGGGAAAGGCTGAGCATGAGAAATACTACCTGTTATGTGGGCTCTGAGCCATGGGGTAAGGACTCGATCAACTGAGACATGCTGTAATATGGCTTGTCTGGCACAGCCATTGAGTCCTCCAGTTCATACCTTTCTAGGTTCAAATCCCAGCTCTGCCACTACTCTTAGCTATATGTGGTATGAGCTTTGGACCACGAGCTTTCCCACCATGAGCTTTGAGGTGGGAAACTTAATAATAAATGCTAGCTAGAATTAAGAGCTCTAATTCAAGGGCAGAGCAGGGTCTGTTCCCAGAGCCCTTCCCTTCCCCCTCATTGTTCCAGGTCCCTTGCACTAGGCAGGCCCGCTGCTAGATGGTCTAGACACCCATAGATAGCCCTGGAAAGTTCGAGGATATGATCTTCAATTTCTGATGCCATCTTGTCACAGTTGACGCCATAGTCCTTATAATCGTCTAAAAGAGATTTGGGAAACACAGGCATCAGCCAGACACAATCTTGGGAGTGTAGTCTGCTTGTACCAGGGACCACAGTGTCCCCGAAGCACCTGCCTTTGGTGCAACTGGGAAAAGGATCCCGTTCCCTCCCCTGTCCCAGGCCCAGGCCCTCTCACCCTCTGCCTTCAAGGCGGCTGACAGCATCTCCACGCATTTGTCCCGGACAGAGTCCCCTGTGAGATAGCAGGGTGCCAGGAGGCAGATGGAAGGGGCAAACGTGGGAGTCAAGGGGCTGCTGGGTGTTTTGGGGGTCTCCGCCTTCGATTTGCTGCTGTTTGATCTGAGGACGACAATCAGTAATAGACATTTTGATAATGCACATAAAGCATTTATTGAGCCCCGTTCTGGTTGTTTTTATGGATGACTCCTTTAATCCTCGTAACAACCCTGTGACGTAGGTACTATTTTAGGCACTTGATGGGGATCATCTCATTTAATCCTCATAAACCCCCCTGAGGTTGATACTATTCTTATCCCCATTTGAGAGATGCATTTTAAAGTGTATCACAGAGAAAGATGCATTTGAAGGTGCACTTGAGGTCAGGCGCAGTCGCTCATGTCTGTCATCCTACCACTCTGGAAGCCCCGGGCGGGGGGATTGCTTGAACTCAAGAGTTCTAGACCAGCCTGTGCAAGAGTGAGACTTTGTCTCTACTAAAAATAGAAAAATTAGCTGGACATGATGGCGCATGCCTGCAGTCCCAGCTACTTGGGACTTGAAGCAAAAGGTTAATATGAACTATGATGCCGTGGCACTCTACCCAGGGGGATGGACTCTGTCTCAAAAATAAATAAATAAGCCCTTGACTCAAATCACACATTGGCAAACCTGTAGAAATGGAATTCAAACCCAGACCGTTGACTTCAGTACCCAGACTCTTTTTTTTGAGACAGAGTTTCTCTATGTCGCCCTTGATAGAATGCTATGGCATTCACAGCTGACATCAACCTCAAACTCTTGGGCTTAAGTGATTCTCTTGCCTCAGCCTCTCAAGTAGTTGGGACTATAGCCACTCACCACAATGCCCAGCTATTTTTTGTTGCAGTTGTCATTGTTATTTAGCTGGCTCAGGCTGAGTTGGAACCCGCCAGCCTTGGTATATGTGGCTGGCGCCATAACTGTGCTATGGGAGCCAAACCCAATACTCAGACTCTTAACCATAGTGTGAAATCACCAATAATCACCCCACAGCCTATTATACACTGTGTTAGCTCTACATCCCTTCTCATAAACATGGGAACCACTTAGTCCCTCATTCAATAAATAAATAAATATTTATTTCTTTTTATACATTTATTGTATTTTTTTTTTTTTTTT